TAAATTTTCGCATATGAACCCTTGAAACATTTTAAAACTATACTCGCGGATTTCTATAACATTGTCGCGTGTCCGGCGACGACCAACGCGACACGTTGATAAGACAACACAAACGAAAAAATGCGAGTTGGATAATCGAACACGAAAGCCATAATTTATCTTAAAAACCGTATGGGGGGAAATTCGAGATTTGTCAGAGGTTTTCGCCGTCATCACAGAGTAGAAAATAATATGCGAAAAATCAAGAAAAACTAGTAAAAAGCATTTGATATTTTCGTCGGGCTATCGGAATAAGCAAAAACGGAATCCCTTTGGAATTCAGTATTTGAACGCGTTGTAACGCGGCATAAATTTCCGGAGTATACTCTGCTAGATTTAATGACATGTCAAAAAAAGAATTACGTGTCTCGAACCCTGATAATAATAATAATACCAAGCGTTCGATAAAAAAAAAAAAAAAAAATGTGTTTAATTGTCATTTATAGGTCGTCGTATTGATCGGGGGAGGGGGGAGGTATTTTTTTTTTATTAATAAATAATTCCCGTTTGTTATTAATGAATTGCATAATTAAAACAAATAAACGACGATATTATTATAGTAATGTGTATGCGTTTTGTATTTTGACGTATTCTGCAAATGAAATATTATAGAGTCAACGTTTCGCAGCGGAATTTCGACGGTATTTAGACGGGCTACAATCGAACTTCTAAGTTTAACTGCTGCTTCCCGATTTTCAACTCCGGCGATTTGTTCTTATTATTATTGCAATATCGATGGTTATTTTGTGAAAACGTGACGTACGTGTTTTAAAATTTCGAGTGGAGCTAAGAATAGCTATTAGTTATATAACTAATGGGTTGTTGTTCGAAAATCTTAAGTGCCTAGTGATTTCACCGCTAGACACAAGGGCGATAAAAATGTAACATTTTATAGAGCTGCTTGTTAAGTTGTTTTTTAAATTTTCAATTAAAAAAAATTTAATACTTTCCGAGATAATCAGTGTTTTTTTTGAGACCCCTTTGCATACAACTGAAGATCGACACGAAAAGAAAAATATATAGTATTATTTAAAAAAAAAAATACAATGTATTTATTTTATTAGTGTAATCGAGTCCGGAGATGTTATGTAAACAATGGTCGGGGAAAAAATTGCCAAAAATTTTGGCACCAACGTCGGGTATTTGCAAGCGACAACCGTGATGGGTGACCCCCCCTCCATGGGGGTCGGANTTAAAGATACATTGTGTTTATTTATAGGTAAGGCGGGAGCTTTCGCATCGGGCGACCCCTCATCGCCCCAGGGATCTTCTTATTACCACCTTTTTTTCCTTTATTTTATATTCATTCTTCACCATACGGCGAGTTGGACGGTTGTGGCGAGCGGGACCTCGGTGCCAACTACCAAAGGAAACTCAGTCACTCGTATATATACTATACACAAATGAAAAAGTGAACACAAGCGAGAGTTTTTGGCTCGGGATCGATGGAAAACGCCGCACTGCGGAATCCGACAACGTTTTGGATGTCGATTACCTTTATCCTAGATGGCGCTGCCTGTTTGTAACGAAGTTCATATTCGTTAACATTTATCTCGAACGACGACGGCGATTATCGGTACAGAATCTGTTCTTATATCGCTTGTTAATTGTTATGTGGAATAAATTAAATATTATTAAATATATAGTGGTTATATTGTAAGACTACGGTTTGATAGGAAACATATTCAAAATCACGGTTATCCAATTTAACTGCTGCTTCCCGATTTTCAACTCCGACGATTTGTTGTTATTATTATTGCAATATCAATGGTTATTTTGTGAAAACGTGACGTACGTGTTTTAAAATTTCGAGTGGAGCTAAGAATAGCTATTAGTTTTACTGTATAAAACGTGCGCTTATGTTTTCTTTTCTCTCTCGAAAATATTTGTCGTTGCTTAAAATGTTAGAATATAAAAAAAAAAATGTGTTATTTGTTTATTTATGGGAGGCGCGATTATTTATTTTTACTTTAGGGATGCGAAAATCAAAAAAGTTTAGGAACCACTGCTCTAGAAAATTTTTTTCTCGTAAAACATTTTTTGGTTACTAAGAATAAAATTCCAAATCATATTCCCATCGCGTGCCTTAAGCGACGCGAATTTTTCGTTCGGTAGTATTTTATTTCAAAAAAATAACATTTAGATTGCTTACTGGTTAAAAAAAAAAAAAAAATAAAAAAATAACAAGTGTCAATATGACATAGGTTTTTATTTTTGTCGTTTTTTCTGGATTACGGTATTAGCCACCGTAACTAATATGGTGGAAAAACACGACTATAATATAGTTATTTAATACTACTCCGCTGAGAATCGTTTTTTCGTTCACAATGGCTTATCGTTGCCGCGCCTAAACCAAATTACCCCGTATATCCTACCTTCCTAACCACCTTTTCCGTCCTTAACAGGGCAACCTTCCCGTGTACAGTATCAACAATTTCTTTTAATTTTTTATTATACGTTCGTTTTATCGACGGGCTTCGTCACGCGAAACCTGCAGAACGTTCACCACCAGAGTGTCTGAGGAATGTGCCCGAAGTTTATCAGCTAGGTAAATTTACGACGATCGGAAAAACATTTCGGATTATACCCGCGGAAACCCTCAGCTCGATAATGTAACATTTTTGTTTGGCGGCCATGTGGGCGATGACGATATGCCGTCACCGCGACCTCTTTCGTTATTATAATAAAGAAATCAAATAAAAACGTCGACCCGCAGTAAAGTGGAAAGTGACACTACATAACGTCACTAACAATAGTTTTATATTTTATTGTTTAAAATGGTAAAATCAGCAACGTGTCCAACATAGCTTTCGTACGACTTTTGCTGGACGATATCACAACACGACCACTGATACGGCGGACTCGATATAAATCGATTGTAAATCTCGGCTGTAGAGACCGCCGCGGGTTTATCGCCGTAACGTTTTTGAAAAAGACGTTAGTTTTTTTTTTTTTTCATATGTGTATGTGTGCGCGTGTGTTATCCGAAGAAAATATATCCGTTTATTTTTTTTTTATGGTGACGGCGGCGGTCCGTCGATGCGAGGAGTGCATTTTTTCATCGTCGAAATTTGTTTTCTGACGAAATAATAAACCGCTCGTAACATGCGAATCTCGACCGAACCACAACAATGACATATTGTATTATATACCAGGTTGCACGGGTCCTTTTCCACGCCGGCGAATCGGTCTGATTTTGTAATAAATGCTCCCACTATTAGAACGATATCTTTAGCTAACAATTCGCTAACCATTCGTATCTAGTCGCGTGGACAAAATGCCGACTGCCGTTAATTTATAATAAATAAATAAATAAATATCATCACGCTCGAGCAATAGATTCTGGACGGAAATTTCGCGCGCGGTATCAGCTGAAACGTATTCCCTGAGATATATCTTTGGCGAATATAGAAAACAAGTTTGTTATGGATAAATCGAAATTGGTGATTCTAGATAAAAACACATCACGCCAACACGGCTTCATTATTCTCTCCCTAACCAAACCTAAAAGTTGAATATCTTGTTAACGGGTTTACGGAAATAAAAAGAGTCAATATCAAAATGTATGAAAACTAAAATTTCTTCTATTTATAAGATTTTTTTTTTTTTATATAGGTGGGTTGTTATTTGAAAATCTAAAGTGCCTAGTGATTTCATCGCTAGACACAAGGGCGATAAAAATGTAATGGAAATGTAACATTTTATAGAGCTGCTTGTTAAGTTGTTTTTTAAATTTTCAATTAAAAAAAATTTAATACTTTCCGAGATAATCAGTGTTTTTTTTGAGACCCCTTTGCATACAACTGAAGATCGACACGAAAAGAAAAATATATAGTATTATTTAAAAAAAAAAATACAATGTATTTATTTTATTAGTGTAATCGAGTCCGGAGATGTTATGTAAACAATGGTCGGGGAAAAAATTGCCAAAAATTTTGGCACCAACGTCGGGTATTTGCAAGCGACAACCGTGATGGGTGANGACACGTAAGGTTGCTTAAAGATACATTGTGTTTATTTATAGGTAAGGCGGGAGCTTTCGCATCGGGCGACCCCTCATCGCCCCAGGGATCTTCTTATTACCACCTTTTTTTCCTTTATTTTATATTCATTCTTCACCATACGGCGAGTTGGACGGTTGTGGCGAGCGGGACCTCGGTGCCAACTACCAAAGGAAACTCAGTCACTCGTATATATACTATACACAAATGAAAAAGTGAACACAAGCGAGAGTTTTTGGCTCGGGATCGATGGAAAACGCCGCACTGCGGAATCCGACAACGTTTTGGATGTCGATTAACTTTATCCTAGATGGCGCTGCCTGTTGGTAACGAAGTCCATATTCGATAACATTCATCTCGAACGACGACGACGATTGTCGATACAGAAACTTCTAATATCACTTGTTAATTGTTATGTGGAATAAATTAAATATTATTAAATATATAGCGATCATATTGTAAGACTACGGTTTGATTGTTAACATATTCAAAATCACGGTTATCGAATTTTCGTACGTTTGGACCAAATTTGTTTAAGTAAGTACTATGAATTACTTTTTGCGGGAACTAAATCACTTGTAGAATACGCATTATATATTACAATTATTTATTTAATTATGTTAAATATCTAATTTTGTATTATTTTCTTGCTTAAAATTTTTAAAAAAAAAAAATGCTTATTTTAACTACTTATTTAAGTGTTCAATTACTAGTTACTAAAATTTAATTGAGTGACTGAACATGTATATTAATACTAAAATTAATATAATATAAATTTTTTGTTGTGATTTTATCTAGATACCTATTTAATAATCATGTATACCTATTAATATATTCTACAAATACTAACGTTATTTAAGTGTGGACTAAAAATAATTAATTTACAGAATTAAATACAATTTATTAAAATATTACCAAAGCTATTCAAATATATACCTATTTATGGTTTTTTCTTACAGAATGACCAACAAATTTGAAGAACAATTGCGATTTACTTTGGAATATGTCACTTCCAAATCATTATCATTAAATAAAGCTGCAATTAAATATAACATTCCTAAGTCAACTGTGCCAATGAGTATAACAGTAAAAACTCCTTTAGTCAGAAAAATGGGTCTTGGATCATTATTGAGTGATGATGAAGAAAAACAAAAGCCTAAATATTAAATAATGCTACATTTAGTTTTCCTTTGAGGGAAGAAGACATTAAAGACGTTATTATGAAAAATTGTAAATAAGACTGAAAATATGTGTGAAACTGTGAATGAGACTGATATTATGTTTAAAACTCTTAATGAGACTGAATGTACAATAGATGAAAATGTAATGAGCAAAACTGAAGACCTATAATATTGGTAGTATAATATTGGAAACTGTTAATGAGATTGAAAATAATATGAATGAAAATGATTTATGTAATATAGAAACTAAAAATATAATAGATTGTAATGTTAAAGAGACTGATAGTATAAAAAAATGAGGGAGTTATAGAAATTAATTTAATTGATAAATGTGTAAGTGAAATCAGCAAAATAATATTAAGTGTAAATAAATCTAATTTGAGTTCTGCAGCAATTGAAGAGTCATGGAGCAAATATTTGTTTTGGCCGAAACCTGACACTTAAAAAAATCAAATAGAAGTCAAGTAAAGTTACCATTTGCTGTTACAGTAATTAAGTGGAGGGAATATCATGCCAATAAAGAACAGGAAAAACTAAGAAAAGAAGAAGAACTTACATAAAAACGAAAACGCAAAGAGGAAATAAAAAAGAAAAAGTGTCTTAAAGTTGCTAAAAACTCCACAAAAAAGCAAAAACAGGAACCATTTCTTGTTGTTTATATTTGTGATTTCTTTCGTTAAATTTTTTTATTTTACCTACAATTGTTGATTTAAATTTTTTAAATACTAAGTATACAATTATTTAGTAGTAACATTGTTACTTCTCTGAACAGATAAATATTTTAATGGTTATCAAGTTGGTTTTTAATAATATATTTACTTAAGTCATAAGTAGCGTTTGTTTAAAATTTGTATTCTATTCCTGTTACTAAGTTTGTAATTAGGTATATTTATTTAAGTTATGTGTAATTTTTTAATAAAGTTACATATTATTCATGAATTATTAAATATAAATTGTTTTATCAAATATTAGTAGGTGTTCATACACTGGGTTTGAAGTGTTCATAGACTGGCATGTTGTATTCAATCACTAAGATTTCATTTATTTTTTCAAATAAACTAATATGCTTAATAGTAATTTGGTTTTATATTGTTTTCTTAATTTCAGTTTAAAAAATAAATAGTTTTACCAATCTAATATGTGTAAACTTGATGCTGAAAACCAATTAATGAATACATTTAGATTGCAAACAAATCCATACCTTTCAATCACTGGATGGTTCACCTAAATTTGCTATACATTATATATATAAACAAATTTAATATTGCTTGAAAAGTGTCATCAGAAATAAAAATAAAAACACTTCATGGTACGATAAATAGGGTAGAATATAAGTTTGTGTATTTACTTTGTGTATAATAATTTTAGTGTTACCACCTCCCCCCATAAAACTAAGTCAAATACGCCACTCATGAGTCGTGGAAACTCGACTTAATAAATAATAAAGACAAAATAACCTAAAATAATTCTCTTAAGCAAAATAAAAAAGCAAAAGCTGATTTAAAAAACGGGTGCAGCCACTAAACTTGTCCTAAGTAACTAAAATTAAAATCAGACACAACTGCTACGTGCGTCACGTTTGTTAAGCTGGGTAAATATTGGTTGGACTCTTATGACCCATCGTTAAACACGCAAAGGGATCCTTTGGGATGAAACTCTTAAACGAAAAGCAAATCAGGTACGGGGAGGACGAAAAAATTCAAATCAAAAATATATAGTTATCGAAAGCAACAGCGTATGCGGTTCTATACCGGAAAACCTTTTAAAACTTTTTTATCTGTGTGTATATCGTTTTTCAACCTTAAGGACAAAAAAAATTTCCGTCACATATATATTATACTCGGATAAATTTTCACTGCATTTTCTGCTTGAATGGTGTAACTTCCGTACCTGTTTCCCGGAAAACCGTAAGAGATAGGATTTTTCACCAAGTGACAAAAAAGTTTTAGAATAGGCTACTGAACGAGTCCTGATAAACGGTGTTCAGAAAAGTGCAGTATTCGAAGACTTAAGATTTTAAATATTAACTTAAATCAATAAAAGTTCAAATCGAAAATATAGAGTTATACAAAAATTGTCCACAGAAAAAAAGAAGGCCGTAATATATTTTAAATAATACCTACAATCTACATAAATCTTATATTTTCCAGTTTTTTTTTTCGGTTATTCAAATTTAATGAGAAAATCGAAAAACGACATCCCTAAAGTATCTTCCCATCTAAGCAAGTCTTCTGATAGAAAAGTCGCGCACAGATAAAAAAAAAAAATAAACATCTTTGTAAAACCACAAGTTTCTTCGCTCTACTCAGAATCTAAAACAAAAACAACTTATTTTCTTTTCACATAAAAATATTTTTGTAAAACGATAGCAGCTTTCTCCACGATTCGAATTGGATAAATTTTAACTGCCTTCACCGTTTAAAAGTTAATAAACGTTGAATGCTAAATAATAGTCATATAAACTAGATATCACTAGTTATAATATTTGATAACATCTGGTTGGGTTGGGTCGTTGTTACAACTCACCCGCGGTTATTATCATATAGGTGTATGTACATTATGATTGTTTCAAAACAGAAATAACTTCTGTACTCATATCTATACATGAAAATATGATTTTTATAATCGATGAATTTAAAAATTATTAATATTGGATATTAAGCTGAAAGTCGGGACACAATTTGGGATTGTAGGCACTTGTAATCCCTTTCAATGTTCTATTGTTAAAAACATGCCCCTCGAAACGAATACTTTTGTTAGGTACACACTACACACGTATATGGTGCAGAGCCTTGGCCAATTATAGACAGTGGACCATTGAAAACTAACTTCTCGAGCTCGAAAGGAAAATGCTGAGAGGAATTTCCGGAAGTGTAAGATGCACCGAGACCGATGGGGAGAAAACAGAAAACGACCAAGGCACTACAGAATCGTTAAATAAACCACGAACCGCGAACACCGCAGAAGCCTTTGGGAAATTACGATGGGCTGCAGGGCACGCTCGGAGAAGCCAAAACCGATTACATTGTACGGTTATACAGATTCGGATCTGGGACCTTATCTGGGCAGGAAGGCAATTCATTTTTAATGAACATTCCAATATTTCTCCATAATATACGCAATGGATCCCGTCTTATGTACCATTAAATATCTAAGCCTGATAACCTTAGATTGAAATGTGTTTTTTTTTTTTTTGTAAAAGCTCTTCCGACTATATGGTAAACTGTCTATACCAAAATACACATTTTAGAATGCAATTCAAATTATTGAAATGCCAATAACTTGAGCCGTATAAATAGTTGATTAAAAAATATGATTTTTTCTTGATTTTTCAAAAAATTGAATACGTTTACGGGTGTATTATGTTTATGTTTATTTTATTATATGTTTGTGACATTTTATGATTATCTTTACTGATAATTATTTTACCTCGTAAAAGAGATTTCTTCGCGTTTAAAGCTGTGATTTTTGAATTTAATGTAAAATCGAAATAAAAATTATATTTTTCAATCGTGTTGATTTGATAAGACGTCGAAATCGGGATTTTCGATAAATAATATTTTCTCGCAAAACACATAATAAATAACATAGTATTTATAGTATTAGGTACATAATATAATATTTTTTTCGGTAATTTTCCGGATTAGGCAAAAAAAAAAAAAATGTATAACATAACATATATATATATAATAACAAAAAATATTGTAATTTTTCGTCCTGCTAAATAATGAACGTGTCCAATGCGTTGTAGTTCTGGACCTAATTCCAGATAAAATCCAAGTCCGCTGGTCTCGAACCGTCGCACCGTAATGAATAGATTCAATTAGATCGTATTGATATAGATACCTATATTATTACTCCTAACAGCCCAACCGACGTCGAAACGATTTTCCGAAAAATATTCAATTGTGATTATAAATTATTTGAAAAATCGAAATGATACGCGAACGCCTCTTTAATTAAAAAGTTACGACGACGACCGCAACGTGTCGGATTGCATATTTTATTTTTAGTGGTGAGCCGAAGTATCTAACCGCGATACTCAATATTCACGGTATTTTTTTTTTCAAAACCAATATCGTAAAAATAAAAAAATAAAAAATAATAAGAAAATATCTATGGTTAGGTCAGGACGTATCGTATTACGAAACGTAAAACATCTGTAATGGGTATAAAATATCGTTTATTGATACGGTTCTACAGAGACGATGGCATTTGGAAGGCGTATCGGTTGTCAGAAAAATAATAAGCTAATATTTTCAACTAAATAGGTATACATGGATGATATGAAGAGGAAAGGGAAAAAAACCAGAAAAGTCTTCTTTTTTTTTTTTTTTTTTTTCCAAAACGGCCATATTTGTGTCGATGTAACGTCTCTTTCGAATCGGTGAAAAAAATCACATTAGTCGAAAGTAATAAGCGTCAGAAATTTTGGCTTATACAGGAAAAAAACGGACGAGTCAACTGATAACCGGGCAAGTTTTAGTATTGTATTGCGGTTTCTATACATTTCAAAGTTTAACATTTAATTTAGTCCGAACTTTTTATTTTGTAAAAAAAAAAAAAAAACAAAAATTTGTAAGTTTTGATATTAAAAACATGTTTTTCTCAAATTCAAATTCAAAAAAAAAAACAAATGACTTTTCCGGTTTTTCCCCGTACCCTTTATATTTTCAACGTTGAAAAGTAAAAGCACCTGTCTAGGAGTTTTTATCCTACACCGATCGTTCAGGTGACATGGTAAAACAGATTTCACTCTTAATTATTAACCGGTATCATAAATGTGTAATAATATATAATGAAACAATGAAGTAAAAACAAAATTATCAAAACAGTTAACGTTCGTAGATAAATATACAAATAAAAAACAAATAAATCAATAAATGCGTCGCCCGGGGCGCGTCACGGCGAGTGTACTATACGACCGGTTTCGAATTAAAAATTCATCATCACGTGTATCACAGAGGAAATGTAAAACGCGGCTCA